AATGTAGCAGAAAGACACACACTTTAAATGCCTTTTGGACTTTCCAATGAATTATTTTTCAAAAAAGCAATTTCAGTAAATACCCTAGATGCAGCAGTATACAAATATTTTCTTCTGTTGTGCAGCAGCCAAGAGCCTGTACTCTCCATCATATCAATTTTTATAAAATAGTTGAGAAAAATTAGAAAGCCTGTTATAAAACTGGAAGGTTAATAAATCCACCACCATAACTATATCAGACCCAATCCTGCACCCTCAACTCTCACTGAAATCAATGGCAGCTGAGGGTACAAAAGACTTTACAGAACTGGGCCTAAAATTAGTGAATACAAAGAGCAAATCCAAGTGGCTTAATGATGCAAACAGACTAGAATGGTGGAAGGATTATTATTTATTTTGAACTTCCAAATAACTTTTCAATAAGCTTTATTCAAAGTGAGGAGCATACTCCCAACGAAGTACCAGAGCTGTATATTATATGCATTCAAAAAAAGCAAGAACACTTAATTGTGTTTGCAGTGATTGAACTCTGTAGCTGCTTATCATTCCTTAATTTAAAAAACAGTGCCTCAAAAAGGAGTAGAAAATAATTTTAAAAGGAAGTCAGACAATTATAAAATCCCTTTTCTTTAAAGAAAAAACATTCAGATTCAGCAAGTTCTCACTAGAAATATTGCTATAAAGTATTGATTTTTGCCAGACTCAATTGACTGAAAAGTTGTTTGTATAGCAATATTGGCCAAGCCAATATACTGGAACAATTTTGCTACACACAGTAATCAAGTGCATTTCTGAAGTATAATTATACTGTCATAAAAATAAAGCCAAGATACCCCTTCTCCAAGCAATAAAATAGTGGAGGCTGTAAAAAACCTAAATAAATGAAATATATATATTTTCTAATGAAACACAGTGCCTTCCAAAGAGAATGAAAACACCCCCCCTCTCTTCCCTTAAGCCAAGGTTAGCATGAAAAGTGATCAATACTTCAATCTCAATAAACTATTTCAATAATAGTTAATTCACGTGGAAACAGAGGCTGAAAATTTCTGCTCAGCGACCTGCAACATGCTATCTTGTTTGCTGAATGCTGATAATATATCATTGCCATAATGGAAACGACTTAGTATGAAGTGATAGAAAGACAAAAATTAAACAAGGAAAAGATACCCACATATACCCGCTCATTCTTTACATTCAAATCAATACCATGTATGCCGCCTTCGGACACAAACCTATCGCATGGAATGCTGGTAGGCTGAAAGAGTCAAACATTTGTAATTAATTTTATCTGACAAATGCTCATTGATCTACTAGAATAAAATACATGTGCAGTGTTTCCCAAACTTGGGACGCCGCTTGTGCAGGGAAAGCCCCTGGCGGGCCGGGCCAGTTTGTTTACCTGTCGAGTCCATAGGTTCGACCGATCGCGGCTCCCACTGGCCGCGGTTCACTGCTCCAGGCCAATGGGAGCTATGCCCCTCGGCCCGCGACGCTTCCAGCAGCTCCCATTGGCCTGGAGCAGCGAACCGCAGGCAGTGGGAGCCGCGATCAGCCAAACCTGTGGAGGTGGCAGGTAAACAAACCGGCCCGGCCCGCCAGGGGCTTTCCCTACACAAGCGGCGTCCCAAGTTTGGGAAACACTGCTGTAGTGCAATCCAGCCACCTGTACGTATTTCATTTTGCAATTTCTCATTGGCTCATATAACATGTATGCTTCTTTGGCAAGGAAGAACCAATTCCCACTACAGAAAGGCAAATGCTCCAATACAAGGAAGTTTTACTGACTTTATATTGAGCACATCACAGGACCATAGTCAAACACCCCAAAATATACATCCAAACAACATTAATATTCATTTCTATCAATTTTCATGACTTTGAAATTCTTTCAAAATTTTTAGTTTTGAAAAATTTAGGCCAGCTCTACATCAAACTCTGTCTAAAGATGCAGAGTTCACTCTGCTGACTTCTTATAACAGCAGTCGCTAGTAACTCCCCCAGAACGAAAGAGTAAGTGGGGAGAACTAGGAGCAAACACAGGGAGATCCTACAGGAATGAATATCTTAGCAACAGTTGGGCTTGGAGAGGAAACTTGGGCTGAGGTTTATGCTCTGTTATTATTTGGGTGTCCGGTAAAACCAAACCTTAGGAATGGTAAGCCTGATCTCAGATGGCATGGGTAGACTTCCTCTGGAGCAGGATGGAATGCTGCTGGCTCATGAGAAAAAAAAATCAACTAGCTACTACAGTGGGCATTTTTTATATTTTAAAATACACACACAAAAGACAATGAAAAAAGGAAAACAAAAAAAGTACGTTCTCCTAGGCTCAGAGGAGGTTTCAAGTTTTTCCACCCAAAAAAACATCATTCCTTGGAAAGCCAGTTTATATCAAATCAAGACACCCAAAAACCCTTAACAAGACAGACACTGGGATCATCACAGCCCACCCAAGAACTATCATGTAGAGGAGCTGCCAGAAGTGCCACACCTCCCCTTTCACGCCATTTTTGCTTTATCTGTCCTTTCATGACGTAGAAGAGTAAAGAACGTCAAAGGCATGCCAGGCAGGATTGACACTGCCTAGCGTTTTATCCAAGTTTCCTATATGGATTCTATGGAGCATGTGTTGTACCTGTGGCAATATTATACAGATATTTGACGTGTATATAGAAGCTTCCACCTCTAGGGATGTCACAATTCTTTATAAACTATATACACACATTGGGCCTAAAATGCAGCCATCCCTTAGCAGCAGGGCACCAGGTAGGTACACCATTAGGTCCTGATGCAAAGCCCACTAATGTCAACTTCAGTGGGCTATGGATCAAGCCTTTAGTTACGCTAACACTCATAGCAGTTCCCCCTCCCATCCCACCATGCCACTTTCATCCTCTCTTCTTTCTACTTTTCCATCACTTCTTTCCCTTCTCCACAGTTTATTTAGCCTCTCTCCTTCCCCACTGGTGCCAACCATGTTTCTTTCATCACTATCTTCTTCTTCTGCCTTCTCTTAGCGGGGCAGTAGTAGGATTTCAGTCTCTTTAATCAACTCCATAACACACTTTGTCACGTGATGCACAAACAGCTTGGGCGTGAAGGCCACAGCACAACCAAGGTATATGTATAACATACATACAAGGTATCTGTGTGTGACAAGTGCACCCACTGTTCTATGTTAAGTATGCAGAAGCAAGAGAGATACAGACATATCTGTATTTTTGAAACAGCGTTAAGCAAATATGGTGAGATCAGCAGGGCTACGTACTTGGTTAACAAGGCCATCGCCAAGGTGTCATTTTGCAATTATGTACCATGCAACAATCCTGCCAATTTGTACTAGACAATCACTCTGAGGTTCCAATCAGATCTTAGAGAATGATGACAATGGTAAATCTTTTATCCTGCATGAGGCTAAGAATAGCGCCTGCTGACAATATCTCCTTCCTTGCCCCTTATTAGATCCACTTCTTCCAAGAAGGTGATCTAATATTGGGGAACAATGAGAGATGTGGTTTTAATGAGTGGGACTTGCATGCTAAGATTTTCCTTGTTAAAATGGTCCTCCATGCCCTCCACAAGCAACAAAACATGAGTTCTCCTTCACTATGTCTGGTCCTGACCTTGAAGTTCCAATCCCCCCCAACACCCTTTGTCCATTCTCTCTCTAAGAACAATCCTCGCTCCAGAATGGGTTGTGCTCTCGTCCTCCAACTGAGAAAGAGAAGCAACTCTCTCCAAAGAAGCAGCAGCCATAGACTGATTTGTAAAGTGCAACAATCCACAATCTCTCCCCAGTATAAAGAGAAAAAGCACATCATTACTACAAAACATATGTTTGAAATCTATAGGTCTAGAGAATAAGTAATATCCAGAAGACAAATAAGAACATGATAGAAGGTCTTTGTACCATCTTCCATGTACCAGGTTGACTTGATTTTGGAAATCTGTTAAGATTCATATCAAATTTGGATCGTTTCTGATAACGACTCCAAAACCCATTTTTATTAAAATTCGTGTTAGGAGACAGAAAGCTGGAGCTTAGGAAAGTTGGCAGCCAATTAAAAAATAAAATAAATGTGTTGTGGTTTTAAAAACATTTTTTAAAAAACGTTAATATCAAAGTTAAAATGTGTAAGGTATAAACAAGATCAAAATGGGATGCCATGTTACTGTATATGGTAAATAGCTCTCTGGAGGAAACCTTTATTACTCCCTCAGGGCTTTCTTACAAAGTATGGATTTTTTAATTCCTAGCGGAATATTTTTCATACACCACTGCAGACTATTAAGTACCAGATATTACATTATGTAGTTTAAACTTTGCACTACGCATGAGAAAGACTTTCCTGTTGAGAAAACTATTTCTTTGCTATTATAATCTTTACAATATTAAAATTAAAACTGGCTTCAGGGTATAAGCATCACTACCAAAATTTGGGGGAGTTTATAACTTAACATATTCATCAGTCTGTGTGTGTGTGTGTGTGTAGCTTCTTACAGGGGGGGGAAGTGGATACAACAGAAAGGGGGGGGTGTTACTAATTTTGTAGTACTGCAGAAAGGCAGAGCAATGGTATCAGAACAACTTTGCATCCAATTGGTGTCACTGCAAACAATGAACTAGCAATGTGTATGATAAGCAAGCAAGAACAACAGTATTAAAAAGAGGGAAGGAAAAATGCATTATGCTTCAGGCCAGTTAAACTTGCACTTGTGGACCATTAACTTGTCACCCAGGAGTGATTCAACTCTAAATATTAAGAAGATAATAAAAACACACCAGTCCTCATAGCACCTAGAAACCAATATTTCGAAAGATCTGGAAGACAAATGTGAAAACAGAATTTCTAGAAAAGCCTAAATTACATACATTGTATTTTATGGTCTTTTACCATATGTCAGCAAAGGCCATCCACCATCCATACTGCACACCTGAGGGAGAAAGATTTGCTAAATTTTGTTTTCAAGAAGTTTAAGCGAAATGCAACACTCACTTGTAGACCGTGCCTCCATTGCCATGACCGAGGACGTCTCGATACTGTATGTCTTGTTCATTCATCTCCACAAGAAAGAAAGAAAAACAAGAAAGATGTCATGCTGTGGATGGAAATGTCAAGGAAAAGCAACTCTAGGCCATAAACAACAAGCAGTCTGGGTCATTTCAAGTTCAGCTGCAAGAACGAGAAGATCAATACAACATTTGCTGTCCAATTTATAAAAGACGATACCAAGGGACAAAGTGATGGAAAGTTTAATGACAATTTGTTTGCCTGGGTCATTTCATTAAAGTTTGATAAAAGGTGTCAAAATGGAATGATATAACACAGCTCAAGAGGGTCAGGTCATAGATACTGATAGGAAAGGGGTCTCCAGCACCGCACATAGCCAAAGCCAAAGCCAAAGTTGTGAGGGAGAGGAAGCAAACCAGCCAACACTGTCATCTTAAATATGGCCAGAAAAGTTTACAATTTAGTGTAGAATCAGCATAATTGATACTAATTGGATGATATGTTTGTATGAGTAGCATTGCTACAATTTATATACAAATGCTTAATGAAGGCCACAATCCTGCAACAAATAAAAATTCGGTTTTAATTAGTGCTGAACAAACACAATTTGCTTTGAGTTATACAATAAATTGCTATCTTGGATGCTTAGTGCTCCAGGGGACAAGTTTCCAGACAGGGTGGTGGGTAGTCAGAGCCTGTGAACACCCCTGAAGCCACATGGAGCTTTACCGTCTGCTGTCCCCTGAGCAGGGCCGGCTCCAGGCACCAGCGCAGGAGGCAGGTGCGTGGGGCGGCCAATGGAAAGGGGCGGCATGTCCGGGTCTTCGGCGGCGGGTTCCCCAGTCCCTCTCGGAGGGAAGGACATGCCGCCGAGGAATGAAGCGGCGCGGTAGAGCTGCTGCCGAAGTGCTGCCAATCACGGCTTTATCGTTTTTTGTTTTTTTTTGCTGCTTGGGGCGGCAAAAAAGCTGGAACCGGCCCTGCCCCAGACACCAGAAAATTTCGTACGTTGTGAACATGGGGGTTCTTTTATATTGTATAAAAGCTTAGCTCACTTTTGTTTGTTGGCTTACTGGTTCAGATTGAAAACCAAGAACCCCACTTCTCCTATACAAAAGTGAATATTACGCTGAACATCGTAAATAAGGCAATTTATTATTCAAAAGTACCAAAGCCATTTTTGACAATAGTGTATGTCTATTTTAAAACAACTCTTTCAATTATGATAAATTTTGGTCCACAGTAATGTCTCCTAAACTAAGATAGGGAGGCTAAATTGACTAATACTTAAAGAAAGTAATCAAGATTGGATAGTTTCAGATTTTAAATTATATTGTTAGCAATCTACCACAAAAATCTTTAAAAGACTCATTTCTTGGATTATTTATATTCTATTTGACGCCAAGTTATTAATTTTGTGCAAATTGTTCCAGCTGCTAAAAAACTTCCTGCTAATTTTATTAACCAATGGTGAGATTTTCAAAAACACCAAAGTCACTCAGAAGCACAAGTCCCACCAAAAATCAAATGGGACTTGTGCTCTTACGTCGCGTAACAGAGTGTCTTGATCTATGTGGGTTGGAGAGCCTGGGGTTAAGCCAACCTTGCTTAAAGAATGAGCCGCACCTGAGAGGAATCAGGTGATTCCTGTATAAAAGGAGCTAGGTTTAAGTAGGGATAAAGCTCAGCTGGGGAAACAGCTGGAGGGAGGTTCCTATAAAGGTAGGAAGTTCATAGCTGGAAGGGGCAGTGAAAGGGGAGAAACCCAGGAAACTGCCACTATATCTGTAGTGACTGCAGGGAGCAAGAAGGCTCCTGCAGGAGGGGAGAAGGTCTCCAGGCCAGGAGGCCTGGGAGAGACCCTGATCAAACAGGAGGGAGGCTGAGGAATAGACCCCAGGAGGGCAGAAGGTTCTGTTTTTGTGGTAAGACATTTTTGGGGAATTTGGACAACTGTGACCCCAGAAGGGGTGGACTAAAGACTGTGACCTAGCCAGAGGATTGAGTCATTGACAGAGAAATCACCACAGTGCCAGAGTGACCATCAGTAGGGGGCGCTAACCTGGTGAGAGCTGTGACGCCATGCCTGGCCACAAGGGGGGCACACAGCGGTGAGTGGACCTCAGTTTCTAGTCGCTTCAGCACTTTTGAAAATCCCACTCCAAGAGCCTTATCCTACACCATTGAAGACAGGAGCAGAATTGGGCCTTAAGTGCTACATGCAATAAAAACCTCTAAAAAGTCAACTTTCAGCAAGTTTCAACAGCAAAAAACAGAGTTTTTAATTGACTAAAAATAATCTGTTTCCGAATCACTAACAGTGAAGCTTTAAATATTTTGTTCTGCTCTTCAACCAACTGAAGAAAATCCAGCACTCGCTTATCAAAGGAAATATTTATTCTCCTATATATTTCCAAGGTTGAAGCTTGTGAGATCTGAGATAACTGGAAGTACATTGTAGCAGAAGTTACGTCCACGTAAATCGTCTATTTGCAGTTAAGTCTGCACCACAAATCTTCAAGGTATATAAAGATTAGTATCCAAAGACCAATTAAGTATTAAAACTAAGGCTGAAAAACTCTGATAATTATATTTCACCAGAAAATGCAAATCAAGAGGAAAAAATTGCAAGGAATTCTCCCCTCATAAAATATTGGGTTGGCACCTCACACAGAGTGAGATAGTAGGCGAGTGGGGCTTAAGTGATAGAGGCCTAATACCAGGCCCCCGCACAACACTGAATTTCACCCACATTGTGCGACTCGTCAGCTTAGAACACACGCAAATACTGAGGATTTTTTTGCCCCAAAACTACAGAACTCTGCACTTCACTGACTTTGCAATAACAGAATAAGACATCTTTAGACTCTATTGTAAACAAAGATCTCTGAGAAACACGGCAAACCTACATAGCCATAACTAAACTCACATCATTAACTATACATTAGCTCTTCTGGGAGTTTTTTTTTTTTCTTTAATTATGCAAAAAAACAGCAAAGGGTTATTTTATACCAGTGCTTTCCCTTTTCTTCTGCATTTGGCTAACTGGTAAAAAGTGAATCATCTTAGCCAAATCGTTGTTGTGATGTTACACCACTTTCACTCTGCATGCCTTTCACTGCCAATCTGGTACCATTCCTTGACAGTTATGCACAAAGGATCAGCACAGAACTGATGGTGAAACAGATACTGGGGTGGAGCAAATATACACCAGAAAACCTTACAGACATAAAGCTTGATTTATTGAATCAAATAAAGATGCCAAAAAATACCTAGTGAGTTATGTATTTTACTGGGAAAACTGAATCCTCAATCACAAAATGATAACATAAAAACAATGACTCCACAGCAAGGACTGGAATATTAAACTTTCAAAGCCAAACTTGATTGGATGCCGATATTAACAGAATTAATGAAAAAGTGAAAACAGAATTCAATTATGGGTCAGCAAACAAAACACTCTTTGTTTATACCTGCTGTCTTTGAAAGACTCAGTATCTATTCTCTTGTAAATCATTAAAAGCAAAATGCTCAATTAATCCTTATTTTATATGTAAAGCTCTGACAGAAGCAAAGTCCTATCGCTGTACCTTTGCTTTACAAATCGAAGTAGTAATGGTTTCAGAAAGCAGTCACACTCTATGAGCAGACAATTGAAGAGATTTAGTAAATCCCACTTTATAGAGCAGAGACTAATCGGAAAACACAAGCCAGTCAAATGTTTCTTATGAACTGTTGACACTATATCAATGCTGAATCAATTGGTGGCATTTACTCTGAGTGACAGAAAAGAAATAAATATTTATATCACATAACCTATATCAATGAACATAGGCAGAAAGCTATTTCTAACCTGCCAATATTTGATTATCTTGAAGAATCATGTCCCCTTCTTTTAATGATTAATATGAATTTCTTATTAAACCTAAGTGGAGGCTAGTGGAAAGGAATATCATCATTAATGCTTGAAAACATAAACCATACAAAAAACTATGTTAAACTAATGCTAAGGGTGCAAACTCCAAAAAGAAAGGAAAGTCAAAGTTACAACAAAAATCTGTCCCCAGTTTATATAGTTGTGCCTAATTACTGAATAGCAAAAGGTGTGCAATATAACAGAGAGCATTTTCTCTTTGGAGATTTACAGTCTAGTCCCTTATCACAGCATGGTGAATTAAGGGTAGCATTAAAACACTAATTCTGAAATTCCTTTCTTTGATGGGCATAAGTCAAATCTTTACTATCACTAATAGATTTTAGCTATTGCCTCTATATCTTTCAACAAGTCAAAATGTCAAATTCAGGTTATTCACCCATTCATGATAATGTGACCGTATTCATGTTCAGTTATTCCATTTTCTAAAAATTATCCCCAAATGGCTCTCTTATATTATGGATTAGTATTTGCCAAATTTCACTAAAAAGCTCAAAAGCATGTTTTTGGTATTCACATAATTGAAAGTTATCTGTTTGGCTATTTTATAAATATTTTAAAAATTATAAACAGACCTTCCTGGCAAGAATCAATTTGTTCAAATATGGCTTTGTATTAAGAATGCCGACAAGCTTAAAAATATATTCCAAGCTGTATTCAAAGGATTCAGTGCCAAATAAGCAAGGCTGCAGTGCTGATGCTGTTAGAATCACCTTTTAAAGAGGCACTTTCATTTATTAGATCACCGTGTTACAGGTGATACTGAAGGACAAGCATGAAGACCAGCCTTTATCTTCTTGACACGCTCAACTACAACTACTTGATTCATGAAATGCCAATGAGACTTGGAGAGGTCACCGTGTGAAGGCACTGAATACGCATCTGAGATAATTAAGATTTCAGCCTTCGAAACATGGAGGGGAAGTGAACAACAGTTAAGAAAATCAATAAGAGTCTTTTATTTGCAGTGACACAGATGTCTCAGTCAATAGAGCCTAATAGGCAAGCTTGATGGCAATGGACAAGTGCCTGCCTCCAAGGCTATCAAAGGGGTTTCACAATGACAAACATTAAAACTTATTTATGTTGCTACTGAAGAATCCGGTATTCTTTTAGGTAGCTTAATTTAGCAGTGTATATTTAAAGTCATTATAAGACTTTGGATCTGTCTATCTATTTGAATCAAAACTGGTGAGAAATGAGTGCCCTAAAGGGTCCATTTGTCCATGAATTGAAAGTGTAAACTATTCAGGTCTGGATATCAGGATCTGAACGCCTGGAGCGGAGAAGAGTAGGTGATAAGGAAGTCTTCTACAACTTTGCTCTTATAATGCAGAATATGACGCAGCTCCAAACAATAAAAGAAGGAATTTTCTCTCTTACCACTTGCAAAAGCCTGCTAAATATTTATGTGCCTACTGCCCTGAAAATACAAAGGTACATTCTAGCAACTGAGCAGCTGATGTAGTTAATCAACGCTGATTAACTTTCTTCCCCTACATTGTGGCCACAGTGCAACATGTGTGTGAGGTGCTTAAATCTATTCGGAGCTAAAACTGATTCTCACCTTTTGAGAAATGGGAAGCAAATTGCTATGGCAATCAAGGTAAATCAAGACACGTAACTCATTCATATCATGAAGATTTTCATGGTCTCTCCACTTCAGTATTAAAAAGGAAACATTACAACTAAATGAGCAGTAAGCATCTCTCCATTTATATATAGTATGCCAATCACTGTGGTTTATAGGCAGTAACAAGTCATACATGTACCCAAGTATGAATTTAATGCACCTACCTGGCCATTAGCTAATATTTTCTTCAGTTCTGCAGAAGACTTCTTTAAGCTGAAAAATAAAAAACAATTATTTTCCATGACTACAGTTTCAGTCTATGAAATGGAGTTTAAAAGGTATCCCCCAACAAAACAGCACCTTCGCTTATGGTTAGGCATGCTGAATATGTTTTACTTATGCAATACAGACTGAGCCCGGTATTTCTCAAACAGCCTATGACAGAAGTCCAGAAAGATTGAAAATTCAAGATTATCAAGACATATTTCACTTTTACAAAGCAGTTTAGATAACGGCAGACATTTGACCACCCTCCTCTTCAAAATACAGCCTAACATTTGTCAATAAATCAAAGCTATCCTCACCAGCAAGTGTTTTATAATAAAGTACCAAAAAAACCCAAGGTTTTACTTCGTTATAATAGATGAAGCACATCAACCAAACATCTCTGAACTTGTGGAGCCCCAGAATCTGGGGATGTTCTAAATTTACAAGAAAAACACAGTCCAAATCCAAATGTATTCTAATGAAAAAAAGCCACTGTATACCCACTGAAGTCAACAGGATGGCATGGGTGAACAGTGATGGACGGCACAATTTAATCCTTCGACTGGGGGGGGGGGGGAGAATTAAAAGCCAAACACTTAAGAGGAAGGATGGTCTTGGGGTTAAGGCAAGACTTAAGGTTAGACTGGGACTCAGGAGATTAGGTTTCAATTCCTAGCTCTGACATGAACTTCTTTTGGGCAAATCACTAAATTTCTCAGTGTCTCACTTCCTCATCCACAAAATGGGGAAAACATCCTTCCTGTGTTTGTTTTATTTATTGAGACTGTAAGCTTTTCAGGACAGGGACTGTCCTCTTATGTGTATGTACAATGGGGCCCCAACGTTGGTTGGAGTCTCTTGGACCACTGTAATATAAATAAAGTACTACCAAAACTCCAGAAAGCCAGAGGAAGTCACAATTCATTTTTATCCTTCCTCTTGATTTCATTACCAATCTAGCAAGGGAAGCGCCCTGAAAGCTGTTATGATAAATTCGTTTGGGGCAATCTTTGTTGTATTTCACCATAAAATATAAGTCAAAATATTTAAAAACACTGGGGGTGATATAGTGGAACCTGCATCTGAAGGTTCTAAAATATATATTTGGTGCAGTCACAGAAACTTGGAGATGTCAGAGCAAGTTTTAGAAAATACAAATCAAAAAATTAAGAACAATATTGGTACCATTTCACGCTGAGCCATAAACTTAAATTCTTAATTGAAGCTCTTAGCTTTTGGAAACTTGACTACATTAAATAAATGAAATAGCAATGAACAAGTACTAGCATGATGCACAGCTTGAACATTGATGCCTTTCTAGGGAGCACGCCCATTTTATTAGAATATATAAGAAGTTCAGATTATATGTATGTAATGATTGGTCTGTCAAGAGCTAAGTAAAATATGGACTACCGTGGAGGGCTAAAGAGAGAAAACTTCTGACTGGATTACAATTTTTTTTTAAATACTTGAAAATAAGGATAAAAGTGGTGCTTTGCCTGTGGTAAAAATTAAAGTATATGGTCAAGATTTTCATCCTTAGGTGTTTAAAGTAAGGTCCCATAATCCATATTTAGCACCTAAACAAAATTAGATGGATTTTCTAAGAACTGAGAACCTCCAACACCCACTGATTTTATGAGAACAGCAAGTGGTCAGCACCCAATTTAATATAGGTGTCTTAGACACACTAATTGGAAAGTGTTTGCCAGAATCTAAATTAATTAACCCATCCTCTACATGCATAGGTACTGGAACTAGAGGTGCTACCACACACCCTGGCTTGAAGTGGTTTCATTATATACACAGTTTACAGTTTGGTTAAATGGCTCTCAGCACCCCCACTATAAAAATTGTTCCAGCACTCCTGTCTGTGTGTGTAGAAGGAAGAAATTTTATTTCCACCTCAATTTGTTTTTGTAGTCTCTCCCTTTTTCAGCACAATTGTCTCATGTACCAGCCATCTTGGATTAGATATAGTCACTGACATTACACGTCTATTGGAATATTCACAACTAACTGCTACAGCTATGTTTGTGTTTTTGGTAACCGAAGACTATCTTGCAAAAATGAAATATGCATTGCTATCATTGATTCCAAGGTAATTTCCTCTCCCAAAATATCAAGGCCTCCCCCTGTTTTCCTGACAACCTGATCTCCTCATCCTCCCACACAACATGCTGCCTAGACAACAGTACCACTAGAAAAATCCTCTCAGACAGATTAGTGAACTTGAAAAAAAAAAAAAAAAACAAAAACAAAAAAAAAAATAAAAAAAAAAAAAAAAAAAAAAAAACCCAAACACAATAATATAGTCTTGATAGGTGCATGTGTCTTGATCATAGATCACTACTAACAGGAACAGTGAAAATAGGGACTTCATATTTGGTGGCTTTGTTCTTCAATAGGCCTTTTGTTCCCAGACTACTTTAAAGAAAGATTAAGTTTTCCAAGGAAACACAAGTTGATCTTGTCATCTCTCAGGACTAACAATTTGTGAACATGAAACAAAGAGAGACTTTCAATTACTTCAAAACCACAACTCCTAGTGCAAAAGGTTTTGGAAAAGGAATGGCAATTAACCAAGACATAAGATGACGCAATCTTCTAGAAGACTCATTTTCAGTGCACTTTGAGAACCATCTCAAAGTACATGGCATACTGAAAACTACTGAATGCTAAGGAGAGGAAGAGTATTTACTTAGCTTAGTGTACAAGGTAGGCTAGTGAAAACAGTAAATATTTTCTTCCAAAGGACGTGGATAGCATCTTCACAATTGTGATATTCAGCATACCTCACCGAGTTACTGGAGCCAAGATTTCTCCAACACAGATTTGCCTAAAGTGCTTGATTTAACTTTTGTCAAGGTCTCTAACGGTGCTCACTGACTGGGGCACCTTAAGTGGTTTTGGTGCTTGCAGAGTCTGTATCATGATCTCTGCATTGTCTCCAATGTTGTAATGTACTTCTGCTCTCCCCAGTGGATAACTAGGTGGCATCACAAATATCAAGCAAATAGGACTGCAACGTTAGCAGGTACCAACAGAAAACTGCTTCCACTCAAGTGTGAACAGATCGTATCTTAACATGCTTGTATCACTCTTTGTCAACTTGTTTAAAAGAGGGTTTTTAAAAAGAGAAGGGGACACATTTGGTGCAGGGCTATGTAGAAAGGGCACTCATAAAAAGTATAAATTCCAATTAAAATACTGAGCCTTTGAATTACAGGGCTCTACTGTGGTGCACTAGAAGCTACCTTTCCAATATTAAACAGTTCTCTTATATCCACAGGCAATAAGAAGTAATATTAAATCCATAGCTAGAATTCTGAAAGAAATCTAAGGGAGTTAGGCAGCCAAATCGCATTGAATTTTGGTGGTATCTGGGAGTTTAATACCCTTAGACGTATCCCAGCCCATGCTAGCAAAGCTATTAAATTGAGCATCAAACTTAACAGGACCAAATTTTTCAGCAAAATCACTTTGAATTAGATACCCAATGAATGACTAAACCTGCTAAATAACTAAAAACCATGTGATGGACAATGATTATTAGATCAATTAAAATAAATGAACTTCTGGCTCAACTATATACCGTATGTCAATGTCATATGAAGGATGAAGCCATCTGAAATATCTCATAAAGGCAGAGTTCTATCGGCAGAAAATAGGTTTACTGAACACCTGTAATAGGAGTGTGACAAGTTCTACAGGGCAGGTTAAATTATTTTTTCTTTCCCATTGTACTCCTTCGCTCCCAATAGTCATACTGATAAAGTTATCTGACATTTCAAGTTTGATACCATTAATTACTATACACCAATCACTTCTCATGTTCCATTTTGTTTTAATAAAAAAAACATCCACATCCACTATTGACTCTTACCTATTGCTTGGAAGGGAATCCGAGACTGCTGAGCTGCTATTATTAGCAGACCCTGCTCGCGTATTTACCTGCAGGCAGGGAAAGAATCTCTATCAGTCGTTTGTGTTCAGAGGACACCATTCTAATTAACCTGTAATTTGCCATGAATTTCTCATTTCACTATGAAGGTTAATTAGCTTGTTGCTAGGCATACCGATCATTGAGGTCTTGTCTGTATGTAGGTTAGGATACTATATAACTGATGGGTTTCAGTATACTATCTCCTTACTTTTTAAATCCTTAATTAAATAATATAGAAAAACAGAAATACACTGTAACAATCATTTTATACAAATTATCCTATAGTTTCCTGCAATTCAGAACAGAAAACGTATGTATGATTACAGTAGAAAGTTAGTAAGTATATATGAATGAATTGAATAAATGTCCTGAAAGGATTTCATTGCAACTTGGTTGTGTGCTTAACAGGTTATATAAATTAATTAAATCAAATGAATATGGTGTTTCTCCCTTCAAAAGACCTCTTTGCAAATTGGTACTAATAGCAGAGTTAATATTTAAGAAGCTTATTAACAAAAGGAAGAAACAAAACACATTTCAGTTTTTAATACAACTGTATAGAACACTCAGATATTGCAGCCAATACCAAGCAGATGAATCTTTGTCCCACACTCATAAAAAAAAATCTGCTTGTCAGAACTCAAAAAAGTGCAGTTTTATTTGACATTTCAATAAGTGGAACACAGCATTACAAATCCATCTAACTTTACTGAAACAATTATTGAAATTCGTACCTTCAGGCCATGTATGTTGCGTTTCCCAGGAGGCTTGCAGGCTGAAACAGTAATTGACTAAATTGTAGAACACATCAGGGCCATTTACAAATTTGCTCAAAATGAATCTTTTAAAAAGAAATGAGGGTGACACCAAAATTAGCAGCGAGAAATGATTGAAAAGTGCCGCCTAAGACCCAGAGAGGGAATTGTGAGCCAGGATTTTTAACTTGCAGGGACTGAGCATTTATAAATGCTAAGAGCTTTTTGACATTGTCTAATATAAATTATAATTTCTGCTTAAAACACAGCAAAATCAAGATAACTAGGCTAAAATGATTAGATTCATTTCTTAATTCAAATGCCTTCACTATCTTCTTTTGTTTACATACATGATGTACCGCAGTTAACTAAATTCTTTTAAAGAGACTTTTTTTTAAGTCATGTTGACAAACGGGCCACTGTGTGTTTTAATGTGGGAAAATCTGGTTGGGGAACAAAGTTCAAAGACCAAAGAAGCAGAAGATTGAATGCATTAAATATAGAATAAAAAATGATGCATTATTTGTTTACATGCAAATCCTGACATCTTTTTATGATGTCTAGCTTTAAAGATGAAGTACTACTTGGGAAAAGGTATTTTCGTAAAGCCTCTTAAACAATATATTACCATGTTTTTTTCATTCAGTGGATGTGCCTTTGTCAAATGTTAAAACCACACAGGCTTCTAGCTACATGTTACAGACAATTCCCATTTTAAAACTACAGTGCCCTACAAATTGTACGTTAAAGGGCCTGTCAATTTTGATTGATTGTCTGGGAAGGGATGAATTTGATTTTTCTCTCTCTCAGATGCACATGTATTTCACTCCATTTTTTGACAGCAGGAAACAGAGCTATTTATTAGTCAAAAGGACACAGATGATAGTTATTAAACACATCAGTTAGGCCAGGCTGTGTGCATTAGAAATTACTATGATATTCTTAAAGAAGCTAAATATTATTTCACCCAGGATTGGGGAGGAGGGAAATGGATAATTTTTTAGCATAATTTTAAAGTTTACCAACCATTTTAGTTTGCATTTCTTCAGAAATGGAAATATGGACATTAACATTTTGAACAAACAATAAAAGACATGTCAAATGTCATTTGTCCTGATGCCTGTAACAAAATGCTTTGGTAACAAAATTCATAGTGTTTGAATAAGGAGCGCACTGTCCATAAACACTGTAATAAGTGATTTGTTTACCATGAATTAAAGAATGGATAGTATTTATTTTTCTCCTGAGCTACCATCGTAAGCAGAATTAAGACAACTATTATGAAAGGCTGAAGCATTCTTCAAAGCAACCCTTTATCTAAGTTTTTGCTGAAGAAGTGATCGGACCTTAAAATACAAACATATATAATCAGTGGGGATTATGGAAAATGTAAGCTTTCAGAACTGTTTTAAAAAAAAAAAGACAAAAAAAGAGTCGCTCAGTGGCAAAAAAATATATATTTTTGATGGGTTTGAAAAAAATATCAGGCAATTATTATTTATATATAATATAAAATATACTAAATACAAATTTGTTATCCCCCCCAAGAGCTTATCATATGAAACAGGTACAGCACAGTTAAGGCAACAACACATGGCACATGGACATCAGTGCTGGCCGGTGTCCTGGAACAGGTTGGTTTTCAGAAACTATTTGATTACAGAGTAAGTAGCACGGGAGAGCCTTCCTCAGAAAGATTAAAATGATGTCAGGAAAAGATATGAGGGTTTGTACGTATAGAATCTAGTGCGGGTTGTAAGGTAGGGAGGAGTGGAACTGTGAAGAATTTTGAAAGAAAGAGAGAAGCTCAAATCACATGCAGAAAAGGTAGAGGATTCAAAAAGCTGTGGGAAGGGAGACATGGCCACAATGATGAGAAAGGAAAGCGTTTTTGCTAGGACAGTTTTGGACAGATGGAAGAGAAGAGCCTGGGCTAGAGCCCTGGTTGCAAAAAAAGAGGGGAAAGGGCACTTGTTCAGATACTGTAGAGGAAGAAGCAGCAGGACTTAGTGGGAGCTTGGATGTGAGAGAAGCAGAAAAATGAGTCAGAGATGACGGCGAGGTTACAAGCATAGCAACAGGGAGAACAGAGAGGTTAACAGAGAAAGTTTGGGGGGAAGGAGAAGAAACTCGGCTTTGGACTGGTTCAGCCTGAGGTGGTAGCAAGCCATCTAAGAGGAGATGGCATGACTGGACAAAGGGTGAAAGATCACAGGTGGAAATGGAGATTGGCAAGTCATCAGCACAGAGGTGATAACTGAATCCATAAGCTCAAAGAAGATCGCCCCAGGAAGGCATACATGGAAGAGAGAAGGGGCACTCCCATGGAGAGGGACAGCAGGAACCACAAGGCAGGTACTGAAGGAATGGTCCAAAAGGCAAACGTACAGAACGTAAAGTCTGATTTTGAACTTCCGTGTGTCCCTCTGGGGACTCAGCCGTGAAAGGTACTGAACAACTTCCAAGCAACAACCACTGATTTCGAAAGTGAGATATCAATGCTCAGCCCTTCTGAGCTGTTCAGCCCCTTGAAGGCTCAGCTGCCAAAGCAGCATATACTCTGGCCACATGAGATTTCAATATTTTCTCTTTTGCAACTGGATATCACAAAATATGCAATAAGGGGCTCTTGAACCTTCTTCACACAACTCCAAACAAGGGGGTTTGTCATGGGTGCTCTAATCTCCCAAGATATTATATAGGCCTGTGGTTTTGTACAGGGAACGTGTGTGTGCACGTGTATACGTACACACTAGATACTATACTACCCTGATACCTCATTATTACAATGAGTTTGAATGCAAACGCAGCTATAAAGAGGCAAGAGTGAGTGAATGTGTGTGTGTTTATGTATTACACACACATTTCCTTCTTTATAACTACACTCAGAAAACCCACTGTAACAGCGAGGAATTAATCTAGTGATATATGAGCTTTTTCCATGGCTAGAATCTACAAGAATCCCTCTGCTATTTCAGCCGCTGCTAGGCTGAGATGCAAAAGTCTCAATATTTCTCCTTTAAGCATCTTCCCATAGCAGCTCACTAACCTACCACCAGAGACAGCCTCCTTTTGAGACCTTAATAGCATGTGTTAGAAAGGCCTATTGGTTAGCTGCCCAATTAAAACTTCAGAGTTGTAAGTAATGAAAGTCTAGAATATTTAATTGGGAAACTCATAGTATGATTATTTGTATAGTATCAGTTAACAGAGAAGATTTTAATTCTTAATTATTTCAATTAATTTATTGCTGGGAGATTTACTTGGAGAATTTAAACCTTATCCATTTCATCAATTAAGAACCACAGATGCAGAGACTGGATACTGAGAACATTTGAATTAGAAGGGTTATGTAATATGCTATTCTTTTTAACCATTACCTGAGTTCTCAGAGAAAAGTATGTATTCAAAATCCAAGTAGTTGCCTATGATTTTGTTTAGGACATAGTAAATCCTATTTTAATAACAACCCAGCAGAAAAGCATGTGATTAAGTCTTCTGAATTCAGGAGAGCACTTGAGCACATACTAAGTGCTGTCCTGAACAGAGATACTTTCTTCAATCAGTGCCTACATAACTGGGTATTATCTGTGTATAAGACTCCATTATTTTGATTCTGTCACGAATTGCCAACAGCTCAAATAAAATTCCTCTCTATGCTGGACATATCTCCAGTTTCAACACAGATTGACAGATCATATCCCCTGAACATATTCAGTTGATTAAAAACTTTAGAGGAGCAAGGGTCGTAAGAAGCATCCAGAACCTGAGTTATTCAACTGCTTTGGCTTTGAATACACACAAACTACACCACCACCAATGAGTTTTTTTTAAATGAATGTAAATATGTACCATGCAAACTAAATTGGGTTAGTTTAATTTACTCCAGTAAACAAGCTATTTTATGTGCAATAACTGTAGTTTCACTACAATCCTGACAATACTGAATTATTTTATCTAAATTAAGAGGTAAACTTCATGTTATCTGCATTTAAACCTTCTGAAAACATAACTGTTGATGAAACATCTTACTGATATAATCATTGCTAATTAATATTTGTTAAGCATTACCTCTTGGATATATCTGCAAAGGTTCTATTAACTGTCCATTTACTTGCTGTTCCATTACAGTGGTATAATACTGCAAAGAGATTAGAGGAGATTATTCAATAACATATGAATAGTAGTTATAGTGTTATAGGTTGTTGAATTCAGGGTATTTTTTAGGGTTGAAAAATTGCTATTACACGTATCAGCCTCCAAAATACATTCCTACTGTTTGTACTGTCCATACAACAAAACAACTATGAAGGAACATTAAACAAAGGGTAATGATAATCAGTAATACATTGACTTCAGGGGAGCGGCCTACTATTGTATCGTGACCATCATAGGCTAAGGCTTATCCGACATCTACATTATTATTAAATAAAGAGAACATTAACAAAATTTGCAGCAGTAAGTAAGAGACCGAAATAATACAAAGAAACCGAGAGATTAGAAACAAACAAACAAACAAAATACAATGAAATTCAACCTGATACCAACTACTACATTTGTGGAAAAATAATTCAAGACAGGAAAGAGTCAATGGGGAAGAGAAACCTGGAAAGCAGTTATTATGAATGAGACCAATGGATGAAAATAGACAGACAATTAAAAGTTAGCCATGAACTGCCAATATGATATGGTAGAAACAGTGAATGCGGCTTTGGGCTGCATATCCAAAGGTATCACTCCACACAAATCAGAGAGGTAATATGGTCCCAGTGCAATGGCATCTACAACATAATATCCACAGCTCTTAGCATTTCATTACCAGAAAGACATTGTCACGTTATGGGGACCTCAGACCACAGCCCACAGCCCCTGACATTTTAGTGGCTGGCGGGAGTAGCTGATGAAAAAAATCTAAGACAGCTACCATAGATACATAAATACAAGTTTGGTGAAGAGATGACAAAAGGCTACATAACAATCTGTAAATATTTGAAGGACGTGAATACCAAGGATGGAAAGAAAATAGCATGGTAGGAGAAGAGTTACTGAGTAATGGGTGAAAAATAAGGAAAGGGAACATTTAGGCTGGAGATCTGGGAATATTTATTTGCCTTTAGAAAAAATTTCCCCTGGGAAACGTTGGAAACTCCATTACATGGGACACTGAAGAACAACACTAGACAAAACACCGGAACATGTACTTTAAGAAACAATCCTGCTATGGTGAGGAGATGGACCTCATTGGTTTTGCCAATGCATCTCTCTGACTATGGGAAGTGTTGAGAATTCAAAGCACAGTACGAAGCATGTTCCAACTGCAACTTACCTAGCTTAAGAACAAAAATGTTGACTGCGAGTCAGATCTTCAGCCAGTGAAAGTCAGCACAGCTCCATTGACTTTGATGCTCATTTTCACCACCTGAGGATCTGGCCCGAAGATTTTAGAAATATAGTGTTCTCAGATAAATATTTTATGATGTTGTTACTTATGCTGACATTACTTAACTTAAACAGTAAATACTGCATATCTGTATGGTGTCAAGTATGAGTGTTCTGATCATACCAATGACTTACCATAAAACAAACTTTTTTGACGTCTATATAATGCAAATCAACATAAGGATTGGTTTATTAATTGTTATGTAAATAGTTTTTTTATGGAATGCCATACTTGTTATGGAATCCCATCAAATTAAGTATACAAAGGGAGCAACTACACAAATATAGTGAGCACAGGCTGTAGGACAGGTCACTAAGATTGCTTTAGTGCACAATACATGCTTTCATTGCGTAAAATCATACATGCATTCACAAAACTGAATTCTGGAAGCTTCAAGTCTTCTAGCTTCACCTTGAGGCACAGATTTCTTTACAACTGATTACAAACTTGGTCCTGTTCTCAATGTGGCTCTGTGTGAACACAAAAGTCTGCATGTGCAGATCCACTTGAAGGATTGGGGTCCTATTTCAATGTTCCTTTACAGTTCTAAGATTCTAATCTGCTAAGAAAGAGAAGGCATTTGATATCTCCACATTTCTCATATATGAGAATGGACAGGAAGAACAGTTCTTCTGTAAAGTGTTAGTAGGGGAGAAAACTACTGGGGGTGTTGGGTTCTTCTTAGCCCCATCTATGCATGATATAAAAGCATGTTTGAAGGGCTATCTGGGTCACGATTACTGTACACTTCTCTTAAATAATCCCGCTACACATGCTCCCACTACAGAGTAAAGTTATTAATCACAAAAATATACTATTTTAAAATGATCAAGAGATGTTTGCAGGAAGAAAGGGAACTATTCCTGTAGACTTATTTTATATCATGGGGTAATGAATAACAAGCTAAGATCTTTGCCCCCCACCCCAAAAAAAGGCAGCTAGCATCTAATAGCTATGGGGCTATAAAAGAATGCCCTGCTTTCTAGCCGACCAAAGCTGTAAAGAAAATGTGTTTCCTTATTTGTAGTAATATGCCAGGACCCCAAGACATATACATATAGTATAAGCACATACTACATACTCTCTGGAATAATAAACTAAAGCAAATGTTCAAGAGACTACGTTTCTTTAGAAAAAAATAGTAATGTGGCCTTCTCCATTACTCAGTGATGACAAGTAAATGAAATATCAATCATGTCAGCTGTCAACCTTTTGGGACAGCAATAACTGTTAACAAGTAGTCTGGAAAAATTCTCCGAAAATGATTTGTCCTCCACATACGAGTATTTCAGTTTCCATGGAAAATTAAGATGCCAGTGGCTATTTGGAACATTGTTCAGGTACTTTTAAATGGAAAATTTGCCAGTTATTGATCCAGAGCATGTACCCCTTGCTTCCAGAAGGCTGCAAGCAACTTTCCAATCAGTGGCTGTCAAAAAAATTACTGCCTTTTTATACTGATACAAGACAACAGTGGTAGTGTAGCTCCACTGCTACTTAATATCTTTCTTTAATTAACTGCTATGTATAATAAGAAAATAATTTCAATTACCGTCTTACAATATTTCCATAAATATAATGCAAAATCTCTTTGTGTATTACCAAGCAAATTAATTACAGAGCTGATTGAAAACTGTGCTGATGGTCAAGTTCACAAACAAATAACCTCAACGATATAAGGGTTATAACCGATACAAAGCATCTTTTCCTACCACAAAACCTTGCATGCATGGAAGGGACCTGTATTCTCATTTCATTATTTAATTTTAATTATAAAAAAATTCATTCACTTTCCTTTTGCAAAACCTTCAGCGTGTTGATGGCAAAATGCACCATGTCAGCATTCTTGGAAAGACGTTAGCAGCTTCCCAACCCTACAAACATTTGCTACGAGGCCCAGCCACTACCATGAGTGACTTAGAATGTATGCTATCACAGAACTACTCTCTGCAGTCCATTCTCCCAGCATGCAACTTACAAGAACTCTCACAATTTCAGTATTTTAGGGTACCTAAATCTTACATACATCAGTTGGTAATCAGCCCCAGTGATGATGATGGCCAGTAGCCCCTCTAACCATCAGGGGTTTTTGTTTTTGAGGGATTTTCTGCTTTGGTGGTTTGTTTTTGTTTTATTTTTTGAGAAAAAGGTAGAAAGCCCTGCAAAAAGCTTATCCCCAACTCTGCCGGGAAGGCAGATGGATGTCAACCGAGTTATAACAATCTCACTTCCAGGAACAAGAAAGTAATTTTATTGTCTCAACTATTTTCTTCAAGATTATGGCAGAGTCATTCCAATTCTTGGAGACTAAAAAGCTACGGGATGTTTCTATAAGCCACCAAACAACAGACTGCTAGAACATGAAACCGTCATGTGCATCATTGAAACAGGCAACTGATGTAAAACATCTGAGACAAAACAGGTAGAAACAAAATGGCTCAGACTGGAACAAGATTATTTATAGGCATACCATAAATCTTAAGGCATTTGGGAGGACAAAACAATTGGGCACTTACAATTGCTCACATGCTGAAATTTCAACAATAGGCCTGGATTCATGCCAGAATGATGACCCTGCAAAGTAGTGATTTGTAAAACTGTGCTGGAAAAAAATGCAAGTATCCTTATCGTGTCATGTCAATAAACCCAGAGATTTCTTGAGGATTATCAATAAATAGATTGGTTATAGACTGATCCCAGGGAAAAGTATCATTATTGAGCGAGTAGAATAATAAAGAAAAAGCCGTAGAGTCTAAAAATTTTACCCCACTGCAGATAAAAAAAATTTAATATCAGACTTGCACTAAGATGGTCTGGTCCCTTCAGAATGGAAAGGCAAGTGAGGGAAAGTTGGGTGGGGAAAAGGTTTAATTCATCATCTCCGTAAAAGATCTGAACCTTACAAATAGGTGAATCAGCATCTGGAACCTGAAGTTTTTTTTGCTCTCATGGCTTAAGTCACTGACATTAAGAATAACATCTCACAGTGAAACTGGAGCACACGATATTTAGTAGTACAAGGAATGCTTAACAAGGAACACTGTGTAGAAGTTCCAAGGCAGTAATCTCCTCCCATATCAAAAGATCATGGCCTAGAAAAGAGAGCCTTCTGCATGTTAGTAAAACGAACAGGGCAATGAATGCTTATGTATGAAGTCTGTAACCCACACAGAGACAGACACAGGAACATGACTTATGCTGACAAGTCTTCCATCATATGTTCTCACAGTCTAATTCCTTACAATTGTAATTAGAAATGAATGAAGTGATTTTCAAAAACTGTTATGATCTGATGATTTTAAGGCATTTTGATCTTGAGCAAGACTCCGAGGGAACACAGTGCAGAAGACTGGGTAAACCACTTTTGTAGTGCTGAAACCACACTGGCTTGCTAATTCCCTGTGGCATTGGGAACTACATCCAGCTATCTTCAATCTGATAATACTTGGAAACTCCAGTGTCATCACACATTGAGGATCAAAGCTACAATGCAAGTGCAACAACATTACCCATTTAACAAGTTTCTTACTTCTACTGTATTCAAATATCTCTAGATAAATTAGGATGAACAATGTCTATGCTATCCACTCATCACTCGGCATGCAACTCCTAATGCTGTGCTATATTCTCATTGGCTTGCATTCAGCAAGCAACACAGATAAAAAAAAAAAAATCAGTGTTTTGATCAGTGTTGAAAAACT